CTGGTGCTGTGGCTGGGGTGGGAGAGGATCCCCACAGCAGGACCTGGAGGCAGCAGTGGAGTTTCCTGGAGCAGGGGATGCAGAAAGCCAACACATTCTCTGTGCATCTACAAGCTACAGAAGCGATGCTTCCCTCTTGATAACCTCATCCTATGTGCTGTGGCCAGGCAGCATGAGCCATGCTTGCTGTAGAGTCATAGAAACAACTAGGTGGGAAAAGACCTTTAGGACCATCAAGCCATCCTGCATGAAGAATCCTTTATAACCTCCAGCAGTTCCTCTCCACACAGTCACAGAGCAAAAATCAGCTCCTTTCTGCATCCATGCACTGCAAAGCGCCTCTGTCCCCAGAACCTCATGGATCCTCCATAGGAGGAACTGAGGCAGGACTCAGCACTGGGGCTGGCAGCTGCCAGCACCCCCTGCCCTCCCCTGAGCACTGCTTTACAATGGGCACCAAATCCTGCTTCCTGCACAAGGAATCCTTGAACCGGACCATATTCTCCCAAACAGCTCCCAGGCTGGAGAGGGGAACTTGGCAGCTGCCTGTGGGCAGAGAGGAGGGGACCCCTCTGTCCGTGCTGGCAGCGCTGAGCCCCAAGGAAAGCAGGTTTCTGTTCTGCAACCATTTGCTCTGCAAAGGCTGGAACCGAGGTGAGTTCAGTTTGCGAGTGGAGAATGCGCTTGGAGCTGGAAATGGTGCGTTTTCTGCTGGCCCCGGTTCAGACAAACCCACAAGCAAACATATTTTTTGTATAAATAAGACAGTGTGTCTCGCCAGTTAAAGCAATTCAAACATGAATGTAGCAATTTAATGGGTGCCAATTACTGTGTCTCGGTAGCATTAAGATTTCAGTCACAGACTCTTTCGCGTGGTAGCCAGGCCAGGAGGGAAGGCAGAGGGACCAGTGGGATGGGGCCTCACACTGAGGGGCAAGTTTGCCTGTCCTCTGCCTGCTTTGGGAGCCCTGGCCCCCAAACAGCCCTGGTGCTGCCCATGGGATGCGCTGAGAAGCCTCTCTCCATAGCAGGGAGAAGGTACCTCCTATTGCATCTGTCTCCTTGTTTGCAACCCAGGGTCTGACAGCCAGCACAGTGCCCTGGTTACATCCCTGCACTCTCCAGCCCTTCCTTGCTCCTGCACCTCACATCCTCCATCACACACTGCCTCCCATTGAGCCCAGGGAAGAGCATAGGGAGGGTGTTAGCTGAGACCTGGATGGATGGATGGATGGATGGATGGATGGATGGATGGATGGATGGATGGATGGATGGGTGAGCAGAGAGGGTGAGCCCATCCAGGGTGCAGGACATGCACCACTTTCACTGCACCATCCTGGCTTTCCTGGCAGCAGCCTTTCTGCTCCCTGCACAGCCTTTCTACACCACAGTGCTCCAGCTCTGCAGGTTGGTGGTTGCAGAACCAACCTCGGGCATGCCACAGCCTGTGCCCCAAGTGTGTGCCCAGGGATGATGAAAAGGCAGGATGTGAAGGGCAGCCCTTCACTGTAAGCCTCCTATTTACCAAGCTGGGGGGGCAATGGACCTGTGGGACCACCTTGCTCAGTGCACGACCCATCTCAGCACCCCTCTGTGCATCCCTGGCACATGTCCCTGTCCCAGCTGGGTCTGCTCCATGGCCCCTGTAGTACCAGGAAATTGCTGCACTCCAAGGAGGAGGTGTCCCGGTGGGATCGGAGCAGGGCAGGGATGAGCTTGGCTTAAGGACCCTAATTAGGCAACTGGGGAGAGAAGGAGGAGGGAAACAGCCACCCCTAAAACAAGCCTTGTTATGTCCAATTTGCCTGGTGGAGCGGAAGGAGCCTCCTGGAGCTGCTCCAGCCTCTCAGGAAACAATACCCGGTCTATACCCTCCCCTTGCAGCTCCTCTCCAGGGGATTTCTTTCCCTCGGTTAAAGTACAAACAAACAAACTCCACGACGTGTTCAGCCTGAATCCTCCCTCGCAGGGACAGGGCACAGCCAGCCAGCCCTGAGCCCGCAGGGTCCCCAGCTTCCTCCAGCTCTGGGCCAAAGGATGCTGCTGACGGCTGTGCTCCCATGGGATTCGGCCACTGCGCAGATCCTCCACTCTTGCCCTTTGCTGCTGCATCCTGGGAAGATGCTTCCTGGAGCCTGACCCTATGAACACCACTGCAATCCCATCCCACTTCAGCATCGCATCAGACACTGGGGCCGGAGGGACCTCAGGGGCTGTCTGGCCCCAGGGTGCAGCGAGGAAGAGAAATCCCTGCCTGCACCCTATGGCAGTGGCTGATCCCACCTCCCCATCATTCAGGTGATGCTATAGCCAGCCAACATAGTGTCTTCTTGCATAGCATCACTAGAGAGCATTTCTTAACCTCAGCTTTCCTCTAGTGCTCACTAAGACAATGTCATCTTGCTCTCATCCTAGAGAAGGGCTCAGTGCCCTCCTTAACAGTGCTGTTCTGGAAACCCCATCACAGACCCATCAACAATGAAGCTGAGGGAGATCCTGGGGTCATTGTCCTGCTGCAGTGCTCACATCTCCCCAGTCAGAGGTTTACCCAACGCGTCCTCTGAAACCTGTGTTGCCAAAGGCACCCAGTCTCACATACCTAACCCCACAGACTTTTCCCTTAAGAGCTAACATTTCTCTTTGCAGTGACCTTCCCTGTGCATGAACACAGTGTGCTACCTCCTTATGACACCTAGTGACCAAAGATTCCCATCAACCCCTCTCCATAACCTCTGCAGCCCCTCCTGGGCTTCTGATCACCCTCCCTGCTCTCCCCAAGCCTTTCCATTCCATGTACATCCCTGCTGAAGCTCTCAGCATCACTTGCTTGGGAGAACCTACTCTCCTCAATCTGCCTGTTCACACTGCCTCCAGCCCTGCGCCTTTCAGCACATCCCATGGGAAGAGCTGTGGGTTTCACCCCACCACACTGCAATCTGGTTTGTGTCCACTGTAGCCCCCAGATCCTTTCCCACCATACTAGCTGTTAGCTCCCAAGGTCGCACACAGCCATTAGTATTTCCTTCCTAATGGCAGCACCCTGGCACAGCTCGCTGTTGCCTGGTTGACACCAGACTCCTGGAGCCCTTGGGTGCTCTGATCTGCCCATACACTGGCTGCCCACCAGAGCTCAGTGCGTGTGCTCATCCATCACCCAGGTGGTTAATGTAGAGATTGCAGAGGACCGAGCCCAGGCCCTGTGGGACCCCACTAGAAATGCCCAGGGCTTTGGGCATCAAGGCACGGCTGGCTGCTCCCTGACTGCAGAGTTAGAGCTGAGTGTGCTTGGGGTCAGACCATGCTCCCTGTTCACCCCTGAACCCTGCGCAGGGATGCAGGAGAAGAGCCAGGGGCAGGTAATTGGGTGGTTGCAGACCCTCTCCCTGTTCCTTCAGTGAGGACCCTCCATGAGATTGAGCTGGAGGAAGGGACAGCTGGGTTTAGGGAGAGAGAAAAGCCCTTTGCACACTGCAAGTGGGTCACTGGGACTTGATGCTTCTCTAAAGCACTGACCCCTCTTGATGCACCAACTGACACAGTGGTGCTTCCTGGACCCAGGGACACAGACAGGGCTGGCGACTGCCACCGGGAACACAAGCACACCTCAGCCTGGGTGACATCAGTGTCAAGGAGCGACTTCAAGCATCATGTCAGAATAAGCCCAGGGTGGCTACCTAGCATCTCCCGCTTTGAGCCAGCCCAGCACATGCGCTCTGCCAGCCAGAGCCACGTCTTTGCCACTGCTGATGGACCATGACCCTTTCCCAACAGCAAGGGATGCACGGGCTCCTTGTCCTGCAGGGTGCTGAGGGGCAAATGAACCTTCAACCAACCCCTCATTGGTCCATGTGGAGCACTGGGGCTCAGCATCACTAGTGCTTGTCATCAGTGGAACACCCTCTGAAAAGGTTTGGAAATGCTAAGCCCCTTTTAACAGGGGTTTCATGCCACAGTGACTACTTTTAGCTATTTGCCCACTGCTTTAGCAGAAGCCCCAAGTGCTCTGGGGCAAGGATAGAGGAGGACAGCATCCCTTTCCACCTGCTTGAAAGCCTCCCTTGGCGAGTGAGTGCAGGAGTTGGATGCTCTGAGCCCACAGTAGTCCCAGTCTGAGCATCAAAGCTCTGCAAGTCATGCAACCCCCTGTCAGTGAGCTGCTGGGGCTGCCCGAGTCAGCACAGCTTCATCCCAGACCAGATCCAGCCTGTTGGAGTCCCTCAGCTCCAGGGCTCCTGGGACACTAAATAGCTGTCCACAGCCATGCCTGTAAGGGTTTTACCAGGCTTTCCCCCTCTGGTATTCAGCACACCAGGGCAGAGGCCCTGAGCAGGGCTTGGGGACATTCCCCTATACACCTTGGCCTTGCCCATGGGGACAGGAGTCCCATCAAGGGCACGGACCGAAGCAGAGTGGTCCTAGGAGCACCCTGTATTTAGGGATGATCATGGATGTGTTTGGAGGGTCTAACACTGAGATGACACTGCTCTGCAATGGGGCACACTCACACCTTTAAATGATGCCTCACTGGGAACGACGACCCCATGCACACCCCAGTCCTCCCACAGCTGCCAGGTCGGGAAAGCCAGAATAACTCCCTGACCCAGGGACAGAGCGAGAGCTCCCCACAGAGAAGCAGAGATCCCTTGGATCCCACTCCTGTTGCAGCAGAACCCCCTCCTGCCCTACAGCCACAGCTTCCCCTTGGATCCCTGCAGCTGTCCTAGCCCAGGACCTGTGGAGAGCTGATGGGATGTTTTTCCCCATGGGATGCCGCAGAGCCCATCCACTCTCCACTAAACACCACCTCCCCAGCGCTTGGAGGGGCATTTTGGGGTGCCAACCCCTTGCAGGGGAGCAAAGCCCTTTCCAGAGCACCGGGGCTGGCTCAGTGAGAGGATCCTTGGGGCCCCTACCACCTCCAGCAAAGGTCTTCCTGGTTGGAAAGCCAGAGCAGAGTAGGAAAGCGAGCCTGCACCCGGGTGGGCGACGAGAGGGCTTACCTTGGTCAGGGTCCCACCGGGCGAGCGCCTGTGCCACACGTCCCACGGGCGCTGGCCGCCCCGAGATTCCTTCCTTTCCTCCTCCGCACTCTTTATCTGCTGCGTGCCGAGGCTCTCCCTGCCCTCCCAGCCTTCCCCAGCTGGCAAGGCTTTCCCACTTAAAGGAGAAAGAGAAGGGAAGGGAAGAAACGAAGTGGAGGGGAGGAGGGGAGGGAGAAAAAGCCCAAATCAAATCAAATCAAAAGGAGAGGCTGGGCTGTGCCAGGGCTGGGCTGCAGCCAAGCCCTCGCTCTGTTCCTCTAGCGCATCCCTGCAGCCCCCAGCCCGTCTGGGACACAGGGTCCGGCCGGCTCGGACCCCAGAGCCCCTGGCCAAGGGATGTGCACGCGTGTGAGTGCGTGTATAAATAAAAGAGAGCTGGGGAGGAGGAGAAGGGGGGAGGCTGCCTCGCCAATGAGGAGCGGGGAACCTCCGACTTCCTCCCTCCACCCTCTGCGGGGACCCTTTGCAGAGCGAAACTTGCGATTAAAGCCCTGCAGACAGTGCCATGGGGGGGGGGAAAGGCTTTTAAAGAGGAGGAGAAGCCAAAGAGGCTGCAAGGAAAGGGGAGTTTCGCTGTAGGCTGCAGGAGGGGAGCAGAGAGGGCCCGGCTAACGGGAAACAAAAGGAGCCCGGCCCGGCTCTCTCCTCCTTAAACCGGAGGGACGGAGCTGCTCTCCCCCTGTGTCTGCTTTCAATTCTGGCCTTTTTCCCTGTTTTCTTTTTCTTTTACATTTTTCCCCTCCCCTCAAGCCCCCCCCCCCCCCCCCCCGTTTTCTTTTTCTTTCTTTCTCGGTTTTTTCCCCTTTCTCAGGATATGAGGGGATGTTTAGAAAATCCGCTGCCCACGCCAGCAGCTGACTCATGTTTTTATTAAAGAAGGCCTGTACTGAACCGGCTCCGAATATTCCCCCCGGACACCTCCCCGTGCCGGCGCTGCGCCTCCAGCCCCGCTGACCCCCGGCCGCCAACGCGCCCCGACCCAGACCTGCTTTATGGAAAGGGAGATAAAAGCCCTGTGGCCTTAGGATGCTACGGCACAGGATGGGTTTGGTCGGGGACACGGAGCTGGTTGAGCTGCTAAAGGGTGAGGGGCTGGGAGAGGTGGCAGGAGTTTAGATCTTGCCATGCCATCGGCTTCGATGTACTGCACCCCTCCTGCGCTGGGGAGGTGCAAACCAGCTCATGGACCTGCTTTAAATCCTCCCCACACCTTGACGAGCTCAAAGAAAGTTTCTGAGAATCTCTCAATAGGCAAAACTTTATCATTTGTCCGAAGGAGGATTTGTTTTATTATTATTATTTATTTCAGCACTGTAACAAGGTGCAGAAGCTCTTTGAATCAAAACTATCTTATGACCCATCAGTTCTTACCACTATTTCCGTTTGGGGGTGTACCTTTGTCCCATCCAAACAAGAAAACCTGCAAAGATGCATCCTGAAAAAGGAGAATCCCTGAAGATACCTTTCTATCATTATTTTTTTTTCCTTTCCAAGAATTGAAAAGCCCTTCCCATAAAGACAACACCACTGAAATCTGCGTTCCTGATTTATTTGCAAGGCAGATTCATTCCCTCCTGCCTCACTACAAACGCCTGCACAATGGGCGCTGCTAATGATTCCCGGGCTGGATGAGCCTAAGAGATTGCCTCTTATCGCCCATTATCAAGTGTTTTCTTTGCATCTATGGAAAACAAAAGGGAAAGGTCTTTATTCCGAGTGGCCACAGAGGGTGAGGAGAGTTGGGCTGTGGCACCCCCAGTTTATCCACACGAAATCAGCAGCACTTTGCACAGGGCTCACACACCGGCTCCTTGCCAGCACGCACAGGGCACAGGAGATGCTGGTCTGGTTAAGCCCGGGCTGGAGATGGAGGCTGGAAAAGGAAGGATACTGCAGAGGCAGCCCCCGGGGGCTGGAGGGCTCTTACAGCGGGCTGTGCAGTGGAATGAAGGGTGATGGCCGGATGAAACCCTGCTTCTCCTCTGCACCAGGCTGGCTGATTCCCTGACTCCAGACGTGGTGACAGGCACATGTGAGGGGGCCCTGACAGCACCCCCAATGATCCAGGATAATCTGTCATGCAGAAGAGTTATCGAGTGTGAGAGCGGCTCATATGGGGGGCAGGCTGAAAGGGGACGTGCTGCGCACATGGCTCTTCCCGACACTCTTCCCGAGGGATAAGGACGTGTCTGACAGGACCCTGAGCGGGGGGGGCTGCTGGGAATAGCTCAGCCGAGCTATTTCCAGGCAGCATTCCCCCTCCAAGAACAACATCGCTGCTCTTAACGCACTGGGAGAGGGAGAAACTCGCTGGTACAATCCTGCTGGACCCCCTCGCACCAGGGACGGGCTACCTGGGGTGAGCAGCGGGTGGAAAGCACAGACCATGCTTGACGGCAGAGCATCCTTATCCCGAGGTCAGACATAATTCCCCCCTCTCCCCTCTGCAAACAGATGACCCGAATGCCCACTCATGGGCTGGGAGCGGGGACAACTCGGACAAACAAAACCTTCTTGCAGCATAAGCCTGCAAAGGGCAGGGTTCATTGTGTTGGGATGCTGGGAGAGCCCTGGAGAGCTCTCAGCATCCCGGCAAGCACACAGCGGCCCGTGCTGTGCATCCCCAGGGAGCATCCAGGGCTGCGTGCTTCGTTTAGGAACAGCACATCGGGGTTACAGCAGCTCCTGGGAAAGGCCAGCCCGGAGGAAGCGCTGAAGCCGGAGGGACTCGTGATGTGAGCAGGGGGGTGGAGGGGAGCAGCGCAGCTACGTCTGCCTCATCCCCCTTCATTGCTCACCTCTATTTTTGGTGCCTGCACCCCCCGTTCATGGACATCGTGATTCCCCCGGGGCTGGGACAGCTGCAGTGTGGGCTCAGAGCGGCTCCGGATGGAGATTTCCAGCCTCAATAAGCATCGTTACGTGCTAGTGGGGCTTGGGGTCATGCAATGAGACAGGGAATGGTCTGCTCTGGCATCACCTGGATCAAAGCAGCTCTCCAGGTAGAGCTGCGACCATGGGAAAACGCTCATATCCCATGCCTGATGTGGAGAAGAGACACCAGGTGATACACACAAAGATGGGAATGGCTGTGCTGGAGTCAGCAACGGGTCCCATGTACCAAGAGGAGAGAGGCAGGTGGGGAAGCAGCAGCAGATGCTGGCCTTTCCCACTTCCCTGCAGGTTTAACAAGGGACAGATTTGCCCTAGCTTCGGTTCCTCCAAACTTGTATCAACTCCAAGGCAGCCCAGGAGTTTCAGCTTCACTCTGATGTGGTGTCGAGCCACAGACCACAAGAAAGGAGCAGTGGTGCCAGGGAGCACAGCACCACATCGGCCAAGCCATACACCAGGATGGCAGCTGCCAGAGCTTGTTCCTGGATGGATCCAGCCCTTGAGACCTGGGGAGAGCTGTTTGGAGGCTTCATCCAGCCCTTTACAGAGCTGGGCTTTGGCCTCTGGAGGAACCACTACCATGGGCATGGTCCTGCTTTGCCAGGGTGGCAGTGGGTGGCAGCAGTGCCCAGGGAGGAAGGGGAGGCAGAAAGTGCTGTGGTCCTTCCACAGTGACTGTATGGACAAGCACAATGTGCTGGGGAGCATCCTTCATCACCAGGAACACCAGCCATGGACACTACAGGGTGACTGTGTCAGGAGGCAGCACCGAGCCATGCACCATGCAGGGCTGTGTCCCTACAGATGCCCACCCTTCCCCTGCATCTGCTGGGTTCAGGCACTTGGAGGAGGCTCTAACCAGCAGCAGAGGCTGTTACTCTGCTGCCTTTCCCCACCATGGGGCCTTTCCACCCCCATCCCACGCATTCTTCCTAACCCCCACGATGAGCCTTGGTATTAAATGTGCTCTGTGGAGCCCCGGGAGGCAGCGGCAGGCTCCTGGGTGAATACTAATAGCGATGCCGTCCGCTCGCCCCAGCCTTTCCCACACATCTGCAGTCACTTAATGTGGGAGTCGTTAACCCTCTGCTTGCGCAGCGCCTGAAACGGGGAGCGAAGCGCTGTCAGGATGCTCCCTGCCAAGCCCCGGCCACCCTCAGGACGCTGTGTCCCTGTCACAGGCTGCAGGGTGAGGCACCCTCAGCTCCCATCAGCTGCACAGAGAGCACCCAGCGCTCTGCCGGTGCAAGGGGAATCACATCACCAGCATGTGAGAGAAGGGGCCCTGCACATGGTGGAAAGCAATGGGAGATGCCAGATGTGTCCCTGCATCCTCTTGAGGATACTCCCAGGGTTTGTGCCATTTGCATTTTACCTGGCAAGCTGATCCAGATGCCTGAGGACCAGCTCTGTAGAGCCATCCTCAGCATGGGGACACAAGTGCCAGCAGAGATGCTGCCCAGGCATCTGGGAAAAGCCAAAGGGCATGTGGGAGTCTGCAGTGGGGCTGATGGAGGTGGGACAGGGGGTTGTCCTCTGCAAGAGGGTTGCACTGATGTCTGTTGCCAGAGAGGAGGGAATGCTCTTGGGTGTTCAGCAGAGTGGCTGTGCTTGCCCCATCCTTCCATTGCTCTCTGGGATGCTGCTCCAACGGCATATGGCAGGAATGATGCACAGGAGACATGCCCTGCTCTCCCTTTCCCCTGCTGTAGGAAGGCAGCAGGAGAAGGTGCTGGTTGGGCTGGGGTGTGTGGGGCACCTCACAGCTCTGGGATGTGCTGGTCAGAGGCCACAAGTTTTGCCTTTGAGAGCAACAGGGGCTGGGGAGAGTGGGATGGCCACAAGCCCATGGGGCTGCCGGGGTGAGGCAGGATGCTCTGGAAGAAAAGGAGAGTGAAGGGAGGCATCTACTTGACCCTCTGCAGGCATCTCCCTGTCCTGCTGAATCCATGGTGGGGTTCAGAGCAAGCCAGGGGACAAGGCAGGGCTTGGTTCCTAAGGTGAGAGCCTCCTGCATGGGAGGAGGAGGTGATGGGGCACTTTCTGCTGCAAACCTGCTCCATCTGTGCCACCGCCTGCAGCCTGGCCCCGGGGCCCTCCCCGCGCTTCCTTCCCCAGCCCTCCAGCTTCCAGGAGATGGCATCACTGGCTCACGGATAGCAGCACCGAGCCCCAGGGAGTGCCTGGGGAGCCCTGGCTGCGCGCCCTCTCTGCTGCATCTGCCTGCTTTGCACCAGGAATCTCAGGGCTGGAGGAGCAGCAGGAGCTCCGCAGGCTGGCTTTGATGCTGGGGGTCCCTGGGTGGATGGGGAGGGTGCTGTCCTCTCCTATCACCCACCTGGGGGCCCCTAAAGGCTGTGGCAGCCCCTGACCTTCTCATGCATGGGACGCTGCAGTGGGTGTCATCCAGAGGCACGGAGGGTCACCAGCATCACCCTTCAGGCCCATTCTAGCAGCTTCGGGGAGCCCATGGAGGGGAGCCTCACCTGGCTCTTCCCCAGCATAAACTTCACCAACCATAATCCCCACCAGCAATAAACAGGCCAAAGAAAAGAGGGAAGTTATTGCTGGTGGATCTTTATGGCCCAATTGTCCTCTCCTGTCTGCTTGCCCCACACCAGGGAGCTGGTGGCAGGGCTCTGAGCAGGCACCTGGTGATGCTGTGCCCCAGTAAGCCCCTCACCTCCCATAGGATGCAGCATGTGGGGTGCTGCACCCAGACTCCCTGGTCCCAACAGCTGCCTGAGCCCTTGGCCTTGGCTCCAGGGGCTGGGAAAAGAGAAAGGGGGTCCTGTCTGCCCATCAC